TTAATCCAAAATTTTGGCTTATTTAAGATCCCAAATTAGTGGAATCAGCATAACTATTTAAAGGTTATCCAATCACCTCTCCTGTTGAACTACTTCAAGTCGCTCTCTCACACACATGCACACACGGCTGTAAGGTTTAATCATCTTCAAAGTCTGGAAAAAGTGACGCATATTTAAGTATTTTTTGCATGAATTTGTATCACACCTATTAGCCACGACAAGGCGTTGCACAATTGCTATGACCTACTAATACCACGGATGGGTGTCTAGACATCTCCACAACCGTGATGAAGGCAAAAATACCGAATTTTGCAATCATTTATTGCTCTGCTTGTCTAAAACTTCTACAAGCCCCAGTGGCTGCCCTGGCTATTGGATTTGTAGAAGGAAATCCCATCACTACCACCACCTCAGGGCAAGAGCATTCCACAGTAGGTAATTTGACACAATCGAGTTGCACACAGTTGCCAGGGGGGAATTGAGGCGTCACGGTGTCGTCTTTATCCATTTCCGTGAGTCAGTGCCGAGGTTACTTGTTGCTGTGGCACATAATTAGTTGGCACACGCGTTGACGATTGGGGGAGTTGGGCTTCTCGGAGTGGAATAAAACACCTTCAACTCACAAGACCTCAAGCTACCTCCTCTTGTGCGCACAATTCTCCACCGCCTTAATTACAGGGTGACAACTCGCGCGCTAAATGTCAAGAGTGGTCCCCCTGTCAGGCGGAAGTAGGCACACTACATCGCTCAGACACGATCAATCATTACAAATTTAGGAGAATTACCGATCAAAAAGTAGTCCATAACTGGAATTTTGCTCAGTAAACAGTTAATTTTTCTTATTACTGAAAGATGATTCAAAAACGTGACAAGAGATTGACTCGTTTGTCTCCCAAATGACAAATCATTTAATTGACCAATCATCTGTTAGGCGGACCCTGTTCCCTTCCCGCCCCCACCCGTTCCTCTTTCTCCCCTTAAATCACCCGTCCCTAAATAGGGGTCCTATAAACGACCGAAGCGATGTGTTTGAAATGAGGAAAAAGTCTAATGTAGCAAGGCTCAAGGCCAAAACCAAGCAGCTGATACGCGCGATCCGTACCAAATTCCATTGGAGAATGCCGATGGGCTGTAATAGGGATGTGAGGACAAGTTGATGCGTTATTCAATTGTCCGATAGTATGGCCCCTGTCCACGCTTACACTGGTCAAGGGTGTCATTCACCAAACATCAGCTCCCAAACAGGATAACTCAGCTGCTTGTGTGGCGGTCATGGATGGGGGGGCTGGCCTCCAGTGGGTTAACAGGTCACGCATCGTGCTACTTCAGGTACCCCTTTCGCAGTACCTACGTGCTTAAATAAAGTGATCTGGTTCGTCTATTTTTGGCAGTGGTTCACTTTTATTTGAGGAGTAGGGGAATACCATTTGCCGATTGGATGCGGCTGTACCACCAGAACCCCCTCCGGACACCTTGGCAGCTAGTTAGCAATAAAGGAATCCCCGCGGCATGACCGCGGAGGTTAAAAGGCCCAGTTATGACAAACGAACGGTTGCTTACTAGTGCTTCGTCAGAATTCGCCTTAAGAACGTTGTAAGGTGCACGTTTTGACAGCAGAGATTAGATGAATGGGTAATCCAACCACTGGAAGAAAAAGACACAACTAAACGAATTCAATTGGTCATGCCACAGCAAATGAAGGACGTACCTTTTGATTGCAAACACAATTAAACGAGGCGCTTCAGCCTCTTGCGCCATTTGACCCTCCTGATGGTGGGGTGGGGCATCAGTCACGCAACCTCTGCTACCGATTTCGCGGCCCTTCCACATAGTTACAACAGAGCTGTTTGCAGATGTGTATGGGTTCATTGGAACTATTCCAGCTCCTCACATTTGCCTGACTTGTTCCAACATGTTCAGGGTGGCATCAAAGGCAAGCCTTTTTGCCACCAAGTTACGTATAGTTTGAGGTGGAAGGAGGCATCCACTTCCTTCCGGTGAGTTTCTTCTCAGTCCAGCCACTACCACCTTGGTCGCGGGTCTGGTCTGGCTCCCATGAGGCATGCAGTTCATTTTCAGAGTTAAAACTGGGATTATCTTCCAGCACTGGAGCATCACTTGCTTCCAGTTTGGATCGACTGATTAATGTTGTGGTGGTTTATCCACTTCTCTTCATCCTTTCGACTCATTTTAGGGTAGGAAAAGCAACCGGATTCTATCATATCACGCATTTGACTACTTTTTTCACCTTTGGACTTAGAAATTTCGACACTTGTAATGTCAGCAGAAGAGAAGAGTTGTTGATAGTGTAAAATCATTTAATTTATTCACGCTGTCGACATGGAGAAGGAATCGGCGCTACTGGCACAGCTCCGAGGCTAGATCACTTACCAAAGCTGGGAGTTAAACAAACAGTCTTCGACGCTCCTCTTTGTAGTAGTTCTGAGTCAGCCATTACAACGTAATCGGTGCTAAGAATAACAACCACGAATCAGCTGCGTCAGTCATAAAATTTACATGAAACTGAGGAGATACTTCACCACAACGTCACCGAGCCCTCTTGGCAATCCAACTGTTTCTAGAGTTTTGTTTTGCACTAGAACTGGATTCGGGCACGCGAAACTTTGCTGACCATCAGGTATCGCCATCGCTAGTCGCTATAACACTTCCCTAGGAGGAAAGTCAATTGATAAAGGACGGGGTTTGCAATAGTTCTCTGGTGGGTAAGGTCTTGTGTCAATTCCTCCTTGCCGCCTAATTCTTACTTCAGTGCTGCTTAGTCAGATCAGTTCAGGTTCTATCCAGCTGGTATGGAGGTGGAAGAGGTGTTGCGTATTCACGTAGTCGGCATCTTCTTTCAAATGTTTCACGGCTGGTGTCACTTTAGACGTTGCTACCTCTTCTGTAGACCACGAGACAAGGAGAGCTGCCAAAGGCGGACTACCTTACAGATGTTGTATTGTTCCATTACGGCTGTAAATTCTCCTCCCAAGGCGAAGAGGGCTAGGGAGCTGAGCCTATGCCACGCAGACTCGCAGACATTAAGGTGCCCCCATATATCAAACATTTAGCAAAACATCCCATCAAATCGCCACAAAGACAACAGGCGCCTACACTGTTACTCGCTAAAAGGATTATCAAAGTGCTAAATTTCCCAGGGTATGAGCATTCTGAGGGAATTTTATTGTCATTCAGCTCAACCAATCTGGCTGCGACACGTGACGAGTTAATGGAACAACAAAATCCCACTGATCGACTGATAGGCGATACATGCCATACACACACGCCTGTCTGGCAGTTCAGACAGGTGGGCTCAGCCTCTGAGCCATGACAGTAGCCCCTCAGACGAGGTAGTATACCTTCCCTCGTCGTCAGGGCAGTCTCGGGTCCCTGAAAATATGAATTTGACAAGACGGATATTATTGTTATACATGACTATTTGAAACCACCTCTTGGTGGAAGGTGAGAGGCAAAGTGGAACCGAATGGGTGATCCCCTGGTGGAAATAGACTCCGATTCCACACCAACCTCAGTCTGATTCCTCATTCCGTCAATACGTAGTGTCGATGGCTAAACACTCTTCCCAATCCAGATGCCTGAGACCGATGATAGAAGGGAAATAGTGCTACTCCCTTTTTTGGAGTAAACGCCAAATTTTTTGCATCTACAACTTTGTTTTTCCACACGTATCCTTTTGCAGTTAGAATAGGCTATAGAGCCTTTTGGGAAGTGTTTATCGAAGGAGGAGGGAGGAAGAAAACACTTGAGTGACCTGTTCAAAACACTTCGCCAGACAAATGTGCCACCTCTTTTCTGCCCATCTAGATGAAAAATTTGAGGTGAAGTGGATGTGAAAAGGACCAAGTGCGGTGAACACGATTAAATTAAAATTTGTCTTTACGATCTTATCAGCATAAAGTGCAGTCATACCACGAACACTCGTCTCTCTGGCTTCCCCATGCTTCATTTCTCAAGCATTCAGCTCCTGATTAGAGCAAGTGAGAGGAAGGTTATCGCTCACTTAAATGAGCAAAACCTGTTGTTGAGGCAGAGACTCTCCCCGCGACACAGAGATTGGCAGACGGTAGCGCTTCTTCACTTCGCTCCACTGCCTCAAGCCATAGCAATCCACCAGTGTTACTTGCAGCGTGGACAGATGGGCAGTAGAAGGCTCCTCCTCCTCCTCCTCCT